CCTCCACCGTGTACATAATGTATAGGAAAATTCTATGTATGGTTGAGGGAGACGGGGCAGCTTGAGAGAACTGGGGGACCCCCTCCCCTTCCCAGCTTCCTCCTCCAGGCCAACATCTTTGCTAACGGCTGCTTCCCAAGAGCGTGTGGTGTTGGGTGGGAGGGGCCAAACATCTTGTTAATTATTTTTAATCTTATTTATTGTACATACCTGGAGTGGGGAAGGTGGAGAGGGAGGGTGAGAAGGCTCCCCTCGTCCTGCCCCTCCTGTTCCTTTTCTACAGCGATCTGTCTCCCTACCCTCGGCCCTACTTTGTCTTCTCAACGTGGTTCTATTTTTTAATGCCTTTCTCTGTCCTGTCCCTGCTCCTTTCTGGCCTGTTCCCTCCTCTCCTTGACCTCTTGCTCTTTCTTGGGCGCTGTACAACTCACCTTGTATACACTGTGTACACACAACCAGCCAAACGAAACCCAACAGCAACACTCTACCAGCAGCTGGAGTGCTCTGTCTGCGGCGGTGGGCGAGCCCGGGCGGTGGGGCAGGGGTTGGCAACGAAACTTCAGTGGCGCCCACTCAGGCGTACAGCCTCGGGTCAGTGTGTGTGTGACCCTGAAATTTAATGACCTCAAACGAGCGTGAATTTTGTCACGGTTTGTCAGGATCAAGGGTGGGAGCAGACAGGGATCTGTCCCATGGAGCCGCTGTAGCTGTCATCTTCCAGGCTGCCCAGGCAATTGTGGCTGCTGGATTCGTATGTAAGGTTCTGGGCTGAGACCTCGTTTCTTCACTGTGGCATTTCCCTGGAGCACACTGAGCGACTTACAATGCAGTGGCTGACGAGGAAGTCATCCAAGTCATCCACCAGTGCCCCTGTCATAGGGACTCCCTAGAAAGCCTCAGGGCTGGAGAGGTCGCTGACGTTAACGCCAGAGCCCAGAATGACTCTTACAGGCAACTGAACCCCACTTTTAGGGCTCTTGCAGCCTGAGCTGACCCAGTAACTATGGCTGGCATTAAACTTAGAATAACCCTGCCCCTACTTCCTGAGCACCAGGGTTACAGGTGTGTGCCACTTTTCAATGTTTTGGGTTTTTTGTTTTTTTTTTTTAATGTACTTTCCAGCTTGGTTGCAATTCTAATTGTAGTGTTGAAGGTCTCTCCACAACTATCCAACTGAGGAAATGCATCCTAGAAGCCTTTGAGACAGCCTCATGGCAGACTAGGTTGGTCTGGACCTCTCGGGAGTATAGACCTGGACCATAATGAATGTCAGACTCTGGGTGTGATGATTTTCACATGCGGTCCCAGGAGTTACCGTGGACATTCAAGGCTACCATGAAAAGGGATGGGATCAGGTCTTGCCGTTGGAGCTGCTGCCTAGAATTCCCCCAGTGAGGGGCAGGGTTGTGGATCAGTTCCAACCTAGTGTGTAGAAGAGCCCAAATCCTCATGCTCGCACTGGGAAATGGGGGGGGGGGTTATCACTAAAATTGGAACATCAACAATGGAGTTAGCTTTCTAGTTAGGGTTGAGAGCAGAGCTCCAGCAGCCACGGACTGTGGCCAGAAGGTGCAGTCCCGTGATCTAGATTCTGCAAGGGGACGTTGGAGAGCCATACCACATTCTAGAGCAGGAATTGGACCTGCAGAGACCACCCTTCCAGAGTGGAAGGGCAGTGTTGACTTTCCGATGAAATAGCTTCCTGAGGTTGAGCCTCGGCTTGTAGTTGGAGCAGGCCAGGTGATGTGATCACAGGACAGTAGGGCTGGAATGAGCCTGGTGTGCTGGGGAGCCTGGGGGGCAGAGTCAGCGGCCAAGCTTTTCTTCCAGGGAGAAACCTTTTCTCAAAAACCCAAACTGAAACCACTGCCAACGCCTGGGAGAGGGCGGAAACCATACCACAGGCACAAACACGTGCCTAGAGAGATGCCAGCCTTTGACTCTTGTCTTAGAAACTCTGGAATGGCAGTGGCCCAGAGGCTTCCAAAAATGGCCTGCCAGTTGCTGTGCATATTCTTGTCCTTTCTTCTCGGGGCAAGCACTAACTTGTCTTTTCCCGTGCATCGTGGCCTTACAAGAACCGGGCCAGGAGCTAGGTATGTGGGAAATACTCAGCTCTGTTCTGGGGAATGCCTGCTGGGACGCAGGACCCTTTGCTGGGGAGGTATAGAAGGCTATAGCCAGCTACAGGCGCTGCTTCTCAAAAGGGGCTACTCCTTGGGCTGGGGAGCGAGCTGCTGCTGAATGTTCTTAGCCTTGCTCAGTCCCAGGGCGGAAGGTTGAGCACAGGCCAAAGGCTCTGTGTTAAAAGAAAGGCGGAAAAGTGTGCCGCCAACCGGCAATCAGTCCTGGGACAGGGCTGAAAGCAGTGGGTCGTGGACGTTGTTACTGACGAGATGCTGCTCTGTGAGGCACGTTGATAGCCTGCATCTCCCAGAGAAGCAGACACTAAGGCAAGCAAACGCTATTCTAGATAGCATTTGCCAGGGGCCAGGCAAGGTCACCGTCTGCCATCAGCAGGAGGCAGAGCCTGTAGTGGGCATGAGAGGTGTTGTAGAATTAGGCCCAGAGATGTTCAAAGCCAGCATGTTTGATTACGGGGGTCAGATGGGAACCTGTGTTCAGCACAGGGGACAGACAGTTCAAAGTTCCAGCCTGGTGTGTTGCGCGAGTGTTTTAGTCAAGTTGGGTGATAGATAATCAAGCCAGGCATGCTGGCTCATGCCTGTAATCACAGCAGCTGGGGAGTACAGATAGGACGGTCATGAGTTCAAAGCCACCCTGGGCTTTGTGAGATCTTGTTTCGGTAAAGCCGAAAATAGTTGGATCAGATAGGGTTGGAGGTTCATGTCAAGTGTCTTATGGACACCAAGTTGGGACCCAGCATTCTAGGAGGTCACATAGTATGGCAGGATCGGTGGGGCCTGGCTTGGGTATAAGTGTACAAAGAATATTTCAGACCCAGAAACAGCTCAGCTTATCTGTCCCTCCAGCTAAAAGGACTTTTTTGACATGGAAGTGTAGGTGGGAGCCTGTTTCTAAGTCCCTGGGACTCCAGTACTTCCAGTAGGCCCGTCTGCAGCCATAGGAATCTTGTGTATTTGCCTTTCCTGTTAGGGTTTACTGCTAGTCATGAGTGACTACTGAGCTCTTGAACTTGTGGAAATGAATTTTATCTATCTGTTCATTTGTTTGATTTTGAGACAGTTTCTCTTTGTTCTCTGTCCTAGAACTTTGTAGACAGGCTGGCCTCGAACTCAGAGATCTGCCTGCCTCTCCCTCCTGAGTGTTGGAGTGCTGGGATTAAAGGTGTACACCGCCACTGCCCAGAGCAGAAACTACTTTTAAGTTAGGACAGATAACATGAGGAGGACATGAGTGTGTGTGTCAGAGAAAGCTCCGTGGGCTGCAGCGATGGCTTGAGGGTTAAGAGCACTTGCTGTTCCTGCAGCAGCCCGGGCTTGTTTCTCAGCATCACTGCAACGGCAGCTCTGCGGGATCTGACGGCCTTGTTGACCGTGGAGGGACTGCATGCCCACGGTGCGCAGGCGGGCAGGCAAGACACCTATTTGTTTTGTTTTGTTTTCAAGACATTTTTCAGTGTAGCTCTGGCTGTCCTGGAACTCACTGTGTAGACCAGGCTAGTCTGGAACTCAGAGCTCTCCCCCTGCCTCTGCCTCCTAAGTGCTGGGAGTAAGGGTGGACCATCACTGGCCAATAGTGTAGTTCTACAACTTTCCAGGTAAGATGATAATACTTTCCCTCTGAGACAAGGTCTTGTCATCGAGGTTAAAGTCCAGCCTCCTAAATGCTGGAGTTTCAGGCATGCACACCACACCAGCTTAAATTTTTAAAAATGTTATTAATTTATTTTGTGTGTGTATTACAGTTACCAAGATAAAACACAGTGACCAAAAGCAAATTTACTTCCACATTACTTCTTTGGAGGAAGTCAGGACAGTAACTCAAGCAGGCCAGGAACCTGGAGGCAGAGGCCATGGAGGAGGCGTGCTGCCTCCTGGTCTGCTCAGCCTGCTTTCTGGTAAAACTGGCCCACTAGCCCAGGGTGCCACAACCCACAGTGGACTGGGCGCTCCCTCATCAACCACGAAAAAAATGCACTACAAGGCTGGAGAGATGGCTCAGCAGTTAAGAGCACTGGCTGCTCTTCCAGAGGACCTGGGTTCAATTCCCAGCACCCACATGGCAGCTCACAACTGTCTAGTTCCAGTTCCAGGGGACCTGATGCCCTCACATAGACATATATGTAGGCAAAACACCAATGCACATAAAAAAATAAAATAAAACAGGGCTGGAGAGATGGCTCAGCAGTTAAGAGCGCTGACTACTCTGCCAGAGGTCCTGAGTTCAATGCCCAGCAACCACATGGTGGCTCACAGCCATCTGTAATGGAATCTGATTCCCTCTTCTGGTGTGTATGTGAAAACAGAGCATTCATATACATAGAATAAATAAATCTTAATAAAGAAAATGCACCAAAAGCTTTCCTACAGCCTGGTCTTAAGGAGGTATTTTCTCAGTTGGGGGTCCATCCTCAGGTGACCTCATCTTGTGTCAGGCTGTCATAAAACCAACTGGCCTTATGTGGGAGTGCCACAGCACTCACGCAGAGGTCAGAGGAAGCTGCAGGAGTCCTTACCCCGCCACCATGTGGGTTCTGAGATTTGAACTCAGAAAGTTATGCTTGGCAGCAAACCTTTAGCTGCCCAACTATCTAACCAGATTACCACTCTCATTTTTAAAAACAGAGCTGGGTGTAGTGGCATACACCTTTAATCTCAGCACTTGGAAGGCAGAGGCAGGTCAGTTTGAGGCCGGCCTGGCCTACAGAATGAGTTCCAGGACAGCCAGAGCTACACAGAGAAACCCTGTCTTGAAAAAAATCTAAATAAATATCTTGGCTATGGATGCTGAGGTTGGGCCCTTAAGACTCTGGGTCCATCTCCAGCAATGACCACACCTACCCAATAAAACATATCTCCAGTTGTTGGCAGTGATATTTATTTTTCTGAAAGATGGGACCTATATACAGCAGTGATAAGGAGCTCCTCACCCTCCCGACCATGGTCTCAGGTGGGGAAAGGAGGTATTAACAGAAGGCACACAGTGGTAGCCCCAGGAGGCCAGGAAGTAAGGCTAAGAGGGTGTAGTGTGTCCTGGGAACCCAGAGGAGGAAACAGGCTCGAGAAAGAGCGTCGGCCACACAGCAAGTGTGAGGCAGCTGGTCCCAAGAGCTGTGCTGGTCGCTTGGGGCTGTCTGGCTACAGCAGGGTGCAGGGACACCCCCCATCCTTCTTCCTGGGAACGCTGGGTGGGCTAGGAGGGAGTTCTTGCTCCTGATATTTCCTGTGGGGAGCACTCTGTGAGTATGAGATGGAGGGCTGAGGACTAGGAGCGCAGGAAGGGCCACTCTGCTTACCGGACAGTCCGCACCAGCTGCTCAAATGCCTCGTCGACATTCAGACGCAACTTGGCTGAGGCCTCGAAGTAAGCCATGTGGTGGGAGGCGCTGAAAGAGGAAGCTTCAGATCTGAGGACCTGGAAGACGACAGAGGGCAGAGGGAGGAGTCAAGGAGAGGGGAGCCTGAAAGGCACAAGGAGTGCTGTAGTGCAGAACCTCAGCAGGCTCAAGGTAGAAAGCTCTAGAAACCCCGAGAAGACGAGCCTGGAGGGCTGAAGCTATCTAAGTGAGACCTGGAAGATTATGATGGTACTTTGGGTAACTAGGAGCAGGCAGGAAATAAGGGTGTTCTTGTTCAGGAGGGGGCACATACACCACAGCTAGAGAGCAGTACTAAAGGGTTAGTGTAAGGACCAGCACCCTTATTCTCCTGCCTAGAACCCCCACCCCAGGAGGGGCTGGGGGTGTGGCCCAGTGAGAGATGATTCCACTTTGGGGGGGGGGAGTGGCAGTACAGGGACCAGGGTTTCAGCGTAGAAGAGGTTCCCCTGAGAGCTTGCTAGGTGCAAATGGGTTATGAGGGAAGGGGACATCCCAAACCTGGCGCTGTGCCTCCAGATCTGCCTTGTTCCCAACCAGCACAATGGGGAAATCATCACGGTCCTTGACCCTGAGGATCTGTGTGAAGAGCTTGCCCACCTCATTGAAACTGCAAGAGAGGTCAGGAGCATGAGGCAGCCTCAGGCCAGGAAGCTGCCCTGTGCTCCTCCGTATCCACCAGCATCGCCCCTCACCTCTGCCTGTCGTTAATGGCAAACACCAGCAGGAAGCCATTGCCAGCACGCATGTACTGTTCCCGCATGGCACCGAATTCCTCCTGCCCTGCCGTGTCCAGGACTGCGGAGACAGGGAGGGAAGTTTGTGGGTCCCAGGCTGTCCTGGCCGCGCCACCGCTACCCCCCAGGCCCAGCCTCCTCACTGTCCAGCCGGGCAGGGATGCCATCCACAGTGCAGATCTTCGTGTAGGAGTCCTCAATGGTGGGGTCGTAGTCAGACACAAAGTAGGACTGGGGGATAGAGACGGTCACTGTCACTAAAGTGCTGTGTGTGTTAGGTGAGTCCTGCCCCAGATAGTCTTCTTTGAGTCTCTGCCCTCTTCTGGGTCTGTCTCTCTTGGTCTCTGTCTCCCCCACCCTTGTCTTTCTCTACTCCGAGATACTCAGTATCTTTCCCTGCCTTCTCCTGAGTCTCTGTCTGTCTTTTCCTCTTGGTGTCTCTCCCTCTTCCTTTTTCAGGCTCTCTATCCTGATATCTTCAGTATATCCTCTCTATCCTATCTTCTCTCTGATTCTCTGCCTCTCCCCTCACTCTGTGTCTCATTGTCCCTGTCTCCTGCAACCCTGTGTCTGTTCTCTGACTCAAACTGTCCATCACGTTCCCTCTCCATCTCCCTGGGTCTCTGTCTCCTCCCTCTCTGGATCTCTAACCTGCCTCTAGCTGCTCTGTTTCCACCTTTCTGACTGACTGTCTTGAGTCCCGGTCACCAATCCCCATTTCCTCTCACAGCCCATGTCTTCTTCAGAATAAAACATCCTCCCTTGTCTTCCTTACACCCAGCTGCGTCACTTTCCCTCTCTGAATCTGTTTCCTCACTTGGAGAATGAGCATGAAAACACTGTACCATCTGACAGTTTTTGATTTGAGGGAATTCCCTGTTTAGCATTAACACTTGGCCTGGTGATGGTCAGTGATCAGAGCTCCTGTTGACCAAAGTAGCTGCCTGTCAACTCCCGCCCGCTGGCTTCTTCCCTCCTCTGCTCCCTCCTCCACAAACAGCCTCCAGTGTCTCCTCCCTGGGGAAGGTCTAGGTTCCAATCCCGATTCGGAGAGGCTGCCCCACCCTCATCCCGCCTCTCCCTTCCTGACTGGGTCTTAGGCCAGCTCCAGGTTTGGCCCTAGGTACCAGGGGCTCAAATTTGGGCTCTTCCTAGTGTAGGCTTCTCCATGACATTGCTGAAGGCTGTGTGTGTCTATCACCCACAAACTTCTGCAGCAAGAGGGCCCTCACTTTCCTAGTGTTGCTCCTCTGTGGGGAGGCTCCCCGTGGGAACTGGGTGGAGGTTTCCGGGGTTGGGCTGGATTTTCAGAACTTGGCTGCTGGGGCTGAAGGTGGCTTCCTCTCTGCAGGGTGTTTGCTGAGGGCCGAGGTTTAAAGGGTTGCAAGGAGCAGAGGATGAGGCTTGGTGTGTGTGTGTGTGTGTGTGTGTGTGTGTGTGTGTGTGTGTGTGTGTGTGT